AGGTGCGCGGTGGGGATTTAAAGCTAGCCAGCCACTGCATGGATTACATTTTCCAAGAAGAAATAAACACAATACAAATGTTATCAGTAGAAATTGTAGCACAGGATTATTTTAATTATTTTCTTTCTTTCTTTAAGAGATAAGCCGTTTCTAGATTTTAGTACTTCAAGTATGGACAAAACTATAACAATAAGATATGTTCTAAGAAGAAATACCTAATCAAATCTAAATCTAATCAAATCTTAAGAGTATATAAAAGCAGATGTTTTTATAACGAAAAGATTTTATACCAGGCTTGGTATAAAATCTTAAGTCTCACTTAAAGATGACTACTGTTTTAGTAAGTGAAATCTCACATAACCCTGTCTTTTTCTAAGGATGTCTTTCGAAGATTCCCCCATACAAAAAAGGCTACAGGCTAAACATTACATCATAAAGGGCAAATATGTGTTTCATACTTTCTAATTTATTTATTTTTTTCGATGTATAATTTTGAATAAAAGTGGTTCTAACAAGTGTTTTTAATGTTTTTTTAACCATAACAAGATAATTACTAATAACATGATAACAATGCTTAACAAAAAAAAAAAAATCTTTTTTTGGTGACTACATGGTTCTTCAAATTATGTAGTTGTCGTATTTCGTTGAAAGCAGTAATGAGCCTAAGTAACCCGAATTAACGTAATCTCGTATTATATTATATCCCACTTTTAGATTAAAAAACGATGAATGTACCCGACTTAATTACCCATAATTACCAATATTAATGACGGTATAATTACAAATTCCAATAAGTTAATAAATGTTCTTTAAGCCTTAATTTTGCGGTTTTGAAAAAACAAAACTTATTTTAAATCCATTGATTTCAGTTAATTCTTTACTTTTAGTCATTTTTTGCTACGTTTTTTAGTCGTTATTGAACATACAAATACAAATAATAAGTCGTTAAAAAATCGATTATATAAAAAATTCTTGGATTGCAATTTAAACTGCAATAATGCCCCGTGTATGGCATCCTTTACAGCAGTAGCTGTGCCTATCGATAGGTAGAAAAAAGAAGCGACGAAAACAAGAAGGTTGGGGATATAACCCGACCAAATGTCGAAGTACACGAAAACAAAGCTAAAACCTACAATATCAGTCATCCGCAATTTATGCAGTTAATGCAAATGGTCGCCTTGTATTCTAGTACGTAACGATAAGAATTTGTTTTTGTTATTTTGAAACGAGTTCACAATTTATCAGGACCGATATAGTATATAATGTTGCGATAATTTTACTGAAAATCATAACATAAAAGCCGTATATTTTAAATTAGCAAGGAATTATAACCTCATAGGACTACGTGACGTATGGTTTTTAGAAATCGTCAAGTAAATAGGTAGAGGGTAGTAAGTACATACATTTCGTTTCTTATATATTTATATAAGTATTATTATTTTATAGATAAACGTTTTACATATAAGTGCTCTAATACCATAATTATATCCAATTTAATTTAGAACTAGTTTGGAACAATAATCAAAAGTCATTTTTAACTCCGTACTTAAGTATAAGTCTACTTTTTCAAGTAAGAATTAATGCATACCAAATTTACATATACCTGGTTGTTATATTTCAAGGTGACAAAACTGCGCAGTTTTGTTTTAAATTATCCTGGTTTCTTATTTAATTTTAAATTCACGTTGCTCCGTGGTCGTGGTCATGGAAGCTATCTTTCAGTAAGAAAATATTAGAGAAAAATATGTTTTAAAGTATAAAAAATGATACTTATTTAATGACTTTGATGGTATTTTATTTAAAAACTCATATTTTTAACCATAAAGCTTAATTTCTCATTTCTAATAAGACTCCCACACGATGTTTGATAATAATGTTCCATCTCTTTCCCACTAGTTAAAACCGCTATTGAAAGGTAAAACATCTCTTTCGCACACTTCAATAAGGTGCCCAAAAAAGCAGGAATCCATCAGCTGTTCCGACGTCTCGGCATTCTACGCCCTTAAGAACAGGTTGTACAGGAACCAGCTGCTTGCCGCACTTTTTAGGGTTCCCTTTTCGACTTCAAAACAAACGGTTATTCTCAATTTTACTCTTCTCCTGAATATTCGATATTTGTGTACATTTTTACGAGACAATTAGTGAGGGCACTCGGTTTTTTTTCAAAATTCAAAACTACTACTGAAAGCTTTTTAATTGGCCATTAACCAAAAGCTATGTAGAGCTTTACGGTATACTAGTCTAGAAAAGATTTTAAAATCAGGGCTATCATCATATCATACTAATATTATAAATGCGAAAGTTTAGATGAATGGATGGATGGATATTTTGTTAGAGTTCGTAGCCTAATGGGCTAAAACCGATTTCAATCACATTTGGTACTGATGTAGAGGATAGTCTAGAAGAACACTTAGGCTATTCACTTTTGTTTTTTTTATTAATAAAGCAAGTTATTTATAAAGCGTAAATAATGTAATATTGTACGGAACCAAATTCTACCTGTCCAAAACGCTTTCTAATTTTTTTTAAACTTCAAAGCTGCTTATGAATTATGTCTGGGCAATCAGACGTGTTTCCTTTGTGTTGAAAAACTAGAAATCCTCCCGACTTTGTTCGTTTAAGGAGATAAATTAAAATGTGCTTAAATTAATCCGAAAAATGATCAATAAAGCAAAAGAAGTGCATTATTAATTTAATTCTTTTAAACTCGAAACATTGAGAACAATCGTTTCTTCATTATAGAGGTGTTCCCATCTAAGATAACTTTTATGCAAGTAAGAATGACAAAACATTTCGTTGAAACAAATTTTGTTCGTATTTACTTTCTATAAGCGTCATTCTTTTATCGGTTTAAGAGATTAACTTGTAATGGACTCATATCTGATTCATTGATGACAAAATTACTGATAAATGTGGATAAAACGATAAGTTTCACGTTTTTCCATCCTTCATCAATTGATAATCGTAATTTTCCATGATAAAGTGGTTTTAATAAATGATTGTTGAGATAAGCAAAGTGTTTTTATTTTCTTTATAATAAGAAATATCCTTTTTCAAGTATGTAGAATTTTTATACAATCCTAGCCAACTAGTTATTTTGTAACAGCTAAAATGAGTTGAAAGACAAGTGTCCCTCTAAATATGGATTCGTTTGATAACTAAATCGATAAAAGTATTCAATTTACATCCCTAAACTGTTTGACGTTAGAAATGTCATTTCAAAGTGTCATTGTCATTGTCAAGTTTTACTTCGCTGTTTTTATTAAAAATACGTGTAATTAAAAAATGCGTAGAGAATTTATTTTAGTATTATTAGGAATCATTTGTATTTCCACGCTATCATCGCTGTTATCAGGATATGTGCAAATAGAAATAGATAAAGTGCTTTTAGACACAGTTGTTGGTGTAGTTGGTGCGGGCAATTTTTCTTATTGGCAATTAGGGCACACTGGACCATTGCTGGTGGAGCTGATCTCTTTATCTGGAGACGCGGACTTGTATGTAGCGGATAACATAAGGTGTTTACATATTTTTTTGTTTATATCGCTAAAAAATGGCTCAAACGTGCTGTGTTGACCTGTTCTTGGTTTGTTGTCATATTCAAATTTAGAATGATTTATTTACGTTTAGGTCTCCTTTTTTATGAGTAACCTTTTGCTGATATTTAAATATATCAATTTGGTATAGTATATTGTATTTAAAGCAAATTTTTCATACATATTTTAGGCCGAGTTATGAAACAGATAAAAATAACTTCAGCTCAGTGACATGTGGGCCCGATATCGTCAACATACCTGCGGAATTCCCACGACCAGTTGGTATGTTATATTACCTTGTTATTGTAACTTTGAACATGAAAAATTGAGTATTATAAATATGAATAAATATTAAATTGCTTGCTACTTCACTGGCATCAAATTTAAAAATAACAAAAAGCATATCCTATGTTACTCATATAAATTACCTTTCTAACAGTGAAGGAATTTTTTAAATTGACCCATTAACAATTTTACATGCATCAAATAAATACAAATCTTTTCTTAATAAATATGTAATATAGTTGGATCTTTATATTAGTATGAGCTGTTGCCCGCGACTTCGTCCGCGTGGTATTAGAAAACATACGAACTATATCTCGGGGATGAAGCTTATCCCATGTGTACTCCAGACTTTGTTTTATATCTGTGCCAAATTTCAATAAGATATGTTGAACCGTTGCAGAATGATTGAGTAAACATTAAAAAACTAAATTAATGAATCCCACAGGAACCGTAACTATTCGCGCGATAAAAAGTAGCCTATATGTTCTTCCCCACTTTGCACTAAACCTGTGCTAAATTTCATGGAGATCCGTTCAGCCGTTTAGGCTACAAACGCTAACAAACATCCATCCATCCATCATCAGACATCCATCTAAACTTTCGCAATTATAGTATTAGTATAATAGACTAACTATATCTTTATAGGTATTGGAGTGTTTGGTCACTGGACACATTCAGTAACGGAGTACAGTATTCAAGTGTTTCTGGATACTTCAGCTGTGCTCAGCGAGGAGCAGGTCCTGGCTATAGAGAAGGCACATCAGGGTAATGGAAATGAACGAACAGGTGAACTTATATATACTTCTTTGATGTTCCTCTTAACCTCCTTTATGTGTCCCTTTCTTTGTCAACATATTAAAAATCTTTGAAGTAACTTAAGATAGAGTAATCCAACAGAGGTCAATTAATATTGTAGGTTTCTTTTTCTCTCAGTGTTCAGTATTTAGACAATGTTTGATGTTTGTAGGTGGCAGTTTAAAATAACATCAAAATATTTTTTTTAATTTATTGGTAAGATTTTTTTCATGTTAATGTAATGTAGTTTTTTAAGGTTCTATAAAAAACATAAATATTGCTCAGAGGTTAGGACAAGGAATATTGTTTGCAATTTACATGACTTTTTACATTTTTTTTAAAAATAATAATCCAATAGTTTTCAAATGTAACATTATTTTAATTTCAAATCATTAGTGAAACAGTTTTTCTGTAAATAAATGAAGTAGCAACACCACCTACACAGGATTTACAAAAAAATCAAATAAAACCGTAGTTAATGGTACTCAGACATGAATCAATAATTCTTTTACTTATTATAAAAAGCTAATTGGGAAAGAATTATTGAAATGGTTCCAGTAGTTTTTGAGATTTTCCATGACACAAAAATACAACTTTCCTATTCATACTTAGACTAGCTTTTCCCCGTGATTCCGTCCGTGTGGAATGAAAAAAAAAGTGCTTATGAGTGCTTCCAGACTATTCATTCAGCAGTTTGGGCTTCAAACTAGCAAATGTAAGTTTTGATTTGATGTAAGATTTTTTGCTTCATGTTCATGTCTGTTTTCACAGAGATGAATGGCAAAAGAAAGGAGAAACTATCACCAAAGAAGACGGACAATGAACACAAGCCGAGATTCCTCTGGTTGTTTAATATCTTGGATGTTATATTTGAAATGTTTATACTTTGAGGCATGATGCTTTACAGTTGAGGATATATATTCCCTACCTTTCTAAACTAAAACTCATGGCAAAATATTTGTTTTCTGAATGTTTTTTGACAGTGGGTAGGGGAATTATTTCTTTGACTGTTCAAGGGATTTGATTTTGTTTAACGCTTTAGAAATGAGGCGCTAGAAGATTCTAGATGTTTGAAGTCGGTTTAAGTTGTGATAGAAGGAATGAACTTTCAAGTTTTATGTCAAGATAACTTAAGATAATTGTGTGAAATAGTCTTACAAATGTGTTGTTAAAAATCCTTTAGTCTCCAAATAAATTGTATTATCGCTTCAAATAAATATTAACAGACTGAAGTTTGCCGTATTTTTATTAACATAATAATAAGTGTTTATTTTTTTTATAATATAATGTGGCAAACTCGCAAGCAGCCATCTGAAACCACCGACATATAAAGCGACCTTTGCCCATAAACATGCGCAATTGCAGCGTTGCCTACCCTTCATTGATAGAGGAGGAGACACACATAAAGAGGATATTTTCCCTTTCCTATGCATCTCCTCTACCATAAAATCCACTTTCCTTCCCATACTTTCCCATGATGAAAAGGGTAGAAAGGGAAAGGGACTAAAATTAGACCTCCAGCATCACACTTATCAGACAAAACGCGGAATTGCTTCCACTTCACGTCTGTTTTCTGTATGGTCGTGGTATTACACCGGGCGAGCCGGCCCTGCAGTGCTAAGATGTTAAAGCGGGCTCTACCACTGTTAAGTTCTTTTTACATTTATATCTGTCTTATAAAAATCTTGTTTTAAAGTATTAGGGCCTGTCCCACCACTGGCTGATAAAGGCTCAGATAGCTACACGTCAGTTAAAGAAACAAAATTCGATATTTCCATCACATATCTTACACAGATTGCTATTAATTTACAATATCCTGGGGCAGGCCCTAAATGTTTGTACCGGTGCGTTCCACTGGAGATCCCGGGACCTTCAATTTGCACCTGAGGCCACCGAGGGAGTTTTTAGTGCGTAGACATCTCACATAACCCATCTTTTATAAAAGACAGGGTATCTTTAACATCTTCGCACGAATGGGTCGGCTCGCCCGGTGCAATACCACGAGCACTCAGAAAACAGGCGTGAATTGGAAGTAATTCCGCGTTTCGTCTGATGAATGTGGTGCCGGAGCCCTAATTTAATCCCTTTCCTTTTCCACCCTTTTCTTAAGATTAAAGGAAAAGTGGATTTGACGGTGGAGGAGACGCATAGGAAGTGGAAATGCCCCCTTTTTGTGGGTCTCCTCCTCCGTCAATTAAGGGTAGGTAACGCATCTGCAATTGCGGGTGTTTATGTGCAGCGGTCGCTTTCCATTTCGGTGGATTGAGGTGGCCGCTTGCTCTTTTATCACCTTATATTATAAAAAAAAATCTTCCCAAGATTTCCCCTCCGTTACTAAAAAAAGGCCCTAAATGTTTAGTTTTAGTTGAAATGTTGAGTTTGTATATTTCAAATGAAATAAAAGACATTATAACGAAAACATTTATTTTTTTATTTAAATACATCAGTAAAACAACTTTTCACAGAGAAAATAGTTAGTACACATTTAAAAGCTTAAAGTGGAATCACGAAAATATCAAATAAATACAATTTCTATATAAATACTTAACAAAAAGTCAGATCTTTTATTAATGCTTAAAAAATTACTTACTAAAACATCGCAAAAAAACAATATTATGGCTCATAAACTTAATATCTACTGCTTTTACAGCATAGTCATCTAAGAACTTGTATATTGTGCTAAACATTAAAAACTAAACTTTTTGGTCTACTCGGTCTTCTCCGTCTTTTCGGTCTTCTTCGCTTTGACAGCAGCTAACTTTGTCTTGCATTCCTCATAGAGTCCGTCCAGATCAAAGGCTGCTTTCATATTATCTTTGGAGAATAGGAACCTGTGATTGTTAAATTATGATATTAAACCAATAATAGTACTTATAAATAGTACAATGAGTATTTAGTAAACATATACAAGTCTATGAAATACCGACTTCTGTAGTTTTCCCGTGTGATCGGCTTGGGGCCTCCTAATCTTCTCTTGACCCTCATTGAGCACCAGCACAGTGGGCAGCTGTCGGCTGGTAGGCCCATCTTGCACTCTATATTTAGTTGCTGCTTCGGGATACCTTGAAAACATCAGAAAAAACTCTAAGCACCAAACCTACATATGTAAAGAATTTTTCAAATATTAAACCTTAATTACCTTCCAACATCAATTTTGCCAAACTTCAAATTATCGAGTCCATAGCTAGCAGAGAGTTCCGCAAACACGGGAGCAAAGTTCACGCAGGCCGGATGCCAAGCTGCGTACAGGCAGATCACCCAGTTTGTAGTCTTGTGACGCTTCAGCTCATCCTCCAATGTCTGGAGTCCACGGAAGTATGTGACATGCTCGGGACCTGAGTATGTAGGCTCTGGGATGAGAAGTGATCCTAAGATAAGGATTGCGCCATATGGTAAGCCATACCTGAAATATCAATTTGTTTAAGACTATTTTTCTATTAAAACCTGCATATGTTCATTTAAAACTGAGCTATGTGTACTATTCTTAGTTCTAATGTACTTTTCTAATAGAGAATGTACTTATAGTTAACTTAATTATCAGAATTGTGTTAATTTTTATAATAATATTGTAAATGTTAGATAACTGTTGTATATATCTATTATAAATAAATGAAAATCAAACACTCACCGTACATCAGCGTAAAACCAAAGAATTAGGTTCGCAATCTTAGTGTAAACGAAAGAAGCGGATAAATAATTGACCATGGTGACGCTCCCCGCCTTACGAGTCCTCAGCATAACGACAATAATTAAGAAAAATAGGATTTCCGTTTCTCGGCTGTCCAATTCACAGTCCACATCAGGGAATAAAAAGTTGCAAATAAACCCGGTTCTCTTGCACGTGACGTATGATATACTGAGTAATATATTAATCCAGTAATAGGGCTTTAATAATTGCCTCAAATCACTACGAAAAGACATGATTTTAATTAATATTTTATTTAAAAAAGACCGAGGGCAAGACTTAAATAAATTGATAAGAACAATTTTGTATCTTTAAATGTCAATGTCAATATTATCGCTCCAGCACAGGTTATCCTAAATATATCTCAGATAAAAAAGGGAACAAAACGCAGCAGTTTCAGTTTTGACTGCTATTTTCAAGTTTACAATTTATAAATTTTTGAGGGATTAGGAATAATGAAAATCTCATGCTGTAAGCTCCATCGCATGAATAAGGTTTACAGATTTATTTCTGGTGTAAATAAAAGCAGGAATTGTAGTGGAATATTTATTGAAATTATTAGCACGACATTAATATATAGGAAACATTAAAATTGTTACTTTAAATTTAATACTGCTACACAAACGTTTTAATTATGTACACATCAGTAAAAACTGAAGATCTTAAAGCTTAGAGCCCATATTATATTAAAGTTAATTATATGCATATATTTCAACAAAGTCTTTTAAACAATTTATTACTTACACTAATAAAATATTCAAGTTTACTCTAAAAAGTATTACATATAGCAACATTTACAACTAGTTTAGAAATAAATCCACCTATTGTTTTAGAATTTTTATTAAATAGCAAGAAGACAAATATAGTAATATTATAATAAAATTAGCAAGCAAATAACTTGCATTTATTAACAGGGCCAAAGTCACTATTAACTCAGACACAAGTTACAAATATTTACATCAATACTAGCTTTCGACCGGGACTCCGTCTGCGTGGAATTAAAATATAAAACAGTGAATAGCCTATGTGTCCTTCCAGACTTTCCTACATCTATGACAAATTTAGGCAACAAACTCTAACATCCATCCATCCAAACTTTCGCATTTATAATATTAAAAGTAAGGTGTGACACAAAACATATTTATGGTATTTATTTAAATCATGTAAGATAAATTACAAATATATATCCATTAATAATAATAAGTAATAATTTATATCTAAAATATAATTACTTTTACCTAAGTATCGTTTAATTCTCTGACACAAGGTGCTCAAGTTTTTTTTACACAAATTTGAACAATTCAATTCATTATTCCTTGAGCTGATATATCAAACGGTATTCACATAAAATACCCTTTATTCCTGTATGCTATCTTCGTGTAGTTGACGACGCATCAGAAATATGGGTACCGTGCACTTTCAGAATATGCTTCTTTAACTCGTGGATTCTCACAAAAGTTGCGGAACAATCCATACACTGCAGTTTAGATCCTAACCCGTGACGACGCTTCGCATGCTCAGATCTGCGCGATGAAGAAATGAACTTTTCCCCACAAGACTGACATTCGT